CCAACTAAAATTCGCAGATAGTGCTGAGTAAACATCAGCCAACCAAATAATTCAACACATTTATTCAGTAGCATTTAAGCAAGCAAGATTAAGACATACCCTAAACTGTTGGTTTTCATCGGAGTAACAGAGCGATAAAGACAAAGCACCACAGAAGGAGAAAAAAAGATAACAATAAAACCGCCATGGATCTTGTCACATCGTGCAAAATGATCTTAGCCAAGGTTTTTGTGTATAATCCGTTGTCCTGAAAAAAAAATATACACGGTTCTATTACATTAAGGACACAAGTTATGTGATACATAATGATGTTCGAATTATACTTAATAAGAATATAACAGTTTTCAACAGTCTTCTAATAAAATTTCAGGTGAGGCGGATACGTTGCCATGCGTCGTCTCCATGGAAAGCATTTGGCTGTTTTAAACAAATTGTCCATCTTCTTTATTCTTTTAATTCCATTACTCCCGTCTGTCTCCTCTCCTAGGACGCTTTTTTAATCTTTCTATTCTATATCTTTTTCGTTGAGACGTTTTAAAACTTCCAAATTTCCATCATGAAGGTGCCAAGATGGTGGGGTTGCACTAATTGTAAATTAGGCTAGTTAACCAAAATCCAAACCTAATCCAACTGTTAGAGTAAGTTTCACAGATATTATTTTCTTGTTCTAATTTGCTGACATTCTCTCAAAACCTATCAAACGTAGCTTATGATGCAGTTTACCTTGTCAGGCAAGAAAACTTAAAGATCCTCAGGAAGTTGAACAAGAAAGCTAAAGATGCCACAAGCCACTGAGCTTTTTACTTTGCGTGTACCGCAAGGGTATTATACACAGGATAAGCAACAGGCCTGACCAGTCAAACAGGGTCATCCATTCTGTGAAGTACAACTTCCCCTCTCTAGGGGAAGTCAGACAGATTAAAGGTTTGCAAAGAACACTTTTCATTGAATTAATTCATTCTTATTTTTTTAACCTTACCATGACCTAACAATTCCATCACCTCTACTCAATCTGACAAAGGGCAAACGCTCAAAGTTGATTGTGTAGTAATTAATTCCACCTCTAAACTACTACCAAGTCTTCCCTAATCTATATCAACCTACATGTACACTTGCAAATGGTAAAATGTCCGGGGCTTTGGCTAAAAATGGTGTTCTAACCTGATTTCACACTAACTAGAATTGCATACTTACAATCTCATTTGATTAATTTCTTCACATATGTAAAAGACCACCATAATTAGGGTGAAAATCTCACAAAATCCACGCAGTGAATCAGGTTCCCCCCCATATTGGGTGGGGTCTACTGTTGTGGAAGCACTCAACAGAGAATATGACAAACACAGCAAGAAGATCACATAAAATGCTGCTTGAAGGCTGTGAAATAAATAGCAACATTATTAATAAGTACAAATAAATTTTACTTTACAAGTATACATTATAATGCTTTCATTTGTGCTTCATTTCAGCTTTTTGTAGTAACAGATCTGAAGGCCATATCCAGGCATCTAAAAAAATCTATTATTTGGCAGATGGATTGGAACACTCCGGGAATTCTTACTCTAACCTCAGTCTCTATTTCTTCTCTATAATTCCACTTTAAACCCTTCTTTTGCTCCAATACATTACTAGCAGCTTGGATCAACACAGTCATTTCTATTTCTTTTTTTTTTTTTTTTCAATTGAATGATGAAACAATCTTAGGTAACCAACTTTTTCCGCTGGGTTCACATGCACCTGAGAAAGAAGTGTCCATAACTTTTCCATTTTGCTTTAACCAGCATTCTGACCACAGGATGTTGAAGTGCCTCCTGAAAAATTGCAAAACCGAAAGAAATGTTTAAGCAAGAATATGAGTGATATGCTACTGGAACAGCAAGAAATGTACCAAATCAAAAGATTTTAACTAGATGAGCTAGTGAACATGAGTAAAAGACAGTATCTCAGCTAATGAGCCCAAAACTCTCAGAGTGTTGCTACAACCCCTTGATATAACAAGCTAGAGAACCAAATATTTTGGATAACTCCTGCATGTATATCTCCAAACACAGGATTACCACACACAGAATAATTACTTTTTAAAAACCTCAACCTTACCAAATTTCTGCTCTTAGCAATGACATGTAAACAAGACATGTCCCTCCAGTTGAAATATTTGTTTTCCGTCCATGCATGTCCTCCTGGCATCATAACTTTTGGGGGTCGTCCTCCCTCATCACCATCCAAAATATGATAGTAAAAATGATAGTCCAAAGGATCATCTGTGATTGTACGCCAGGCTCCCTCAACAACCTCCTTCTCTTTTTCATTTTCATAGCTGTCTTTACGTTTTGGAAGGTGTGGCCAGAGGGGATTCATCATCTGATCTAGTACAGCTATTACTGTCTTCTGTGGAAATCAAATACAAATGGCAACTATAAATTCCCTAATGCAGTTCAAAAGTACATTTAAAAAATCTACAAAACACAACTGTTACAATGTTGTCTTCCTTGATGATCTGCTTGGCTAAAAACTATTCTGATAATATGAAGATTTAAGCATGAGAGGAAAAATTTAAAGCATGAGATGAGTTAAGTACCAATGAAAAAAATGCATTTTGTATAGGAACAGGCCTGCATGTATCTCTCAGTTGATGTATACAAAATCATAATACCCACCTTCATTTTTGGATTCTCAATAAAGGACTTAAAACTGAAGAAAGATGGCTTTGGATTTGCGATATTTTTTGGTCTCCAAAAAAATAGTTTCTGGACTCTAACAGCAGATAAAAACAACATGTCAACTGATGAGAACTCCAGATCACTTGACCTAACTGACAACACAGAACCTATTTCTAACATTATCATCATTGTCAATAATTTATTACTTATATCATTATTTTTGTTTTCCATACCAATCTTAATGTATCTTTTCACCCTTTTACTCCCAAGATCTGATTGCTAATTCTCCTCTCTAGCTGCTAAACATTTCCTTGTAAATTAGTGACGAGAATTTGGTATTAGATCAAGATGACAACTTCAAACATATAAGTTTTGGTATTGTCATTACCCTTTTGCTGTAAAATGTATGGATATCCAGGCCAGAAGCTACATGCTAATCACTTCTGGGAGTTAAAGGGTTAAATGAATTGAATGAGAAAAATTAATATCGGTAATATAACCCACAAGTTCTTTCTGGTTTCAATTTGACATATTTTACAATGCTTGGGTAAATTTATTTGTGATGATGATTGCATATATATTTTTAACTCCCCTCACTGTATGAATCATCTTTGTGATGAAATATAACTTGTTGTAACCAAATTAAGCCTTCAGTTCACACACTCTAACAGACCATTCTAATTGACTCTATTCCAAAATAATTGTCTTGATGTAAATGTGTACCATGGCAATAATAGATACTTGATATTTACATAAGTTTTGAATTTCACGCACACAATTCCTTGAATTGCTGACCATGTGCTTTCTGGATTTCTAACCTTTCCTTAGGGTTTTTTTTTTGGTTGTATCATTTTTTTTATTCTCAGAAATATTGCTTTAACAAAACAGGGCGAAAAGGAATCCAAACTAAACTTCCCTTTTGAAGTTGCATTGAAATGCAGCTTGAGCTGGGCTTTTCATACTGATTTACTGCTTGCCAGGGAGGTAATCTATCTTGCCCTTGGATAATTTTTTGGGAACATTTCCTAATTTGAATAGTAAGTGTCATTTCTAGAAGCAACAGTTAGCATTTTACCTTTCATGCCACATCATCCTAATCAAGTATGCTGACACTTCATCATTTTCTGCAACCAAGGCCAACTCAACTGGTAACATGGTTCGTATTTCCCTAACTTCCTCTGTCTGTAAATTTAGAAGCACTGGGTATTTCTTCACCAATGTTTTACACACAAGTAAAAATCCAAGTTCTGAGGCATAATGCAGCAATGTCTTCCTTGTTTTGTCTTTTTCATCTCTGAATGTCCGATATTTATTGTATACATTCAGTTCACTTTCTAAAATAATCTCAAAGAGACCATTGATCTGCAAGAAAACATGTCAACAATCATCATATGTTGACAAACAATGTCATCTCAAACATGGTACTTGACAAAGTGTTAATAAATAAATGATATTCCAGTCTTTCTTGTCCTGTACATCGCGTCATCATTTTAAAAATTTTCATTTAATTATTTGGCATAGCAATTACCACTTTACAGAAGCTTTCCTCTCGCATGACATAATGCATAATATGCCCTTCAATTTTCATCAAGAAAATAATTGACTAATGATCCAAACACAGATTATTCGACTTTACCTTCTGTTCAAGGCCTGGAAGTGCTTCAGGGTTATCTTTGTACTGTTTAGACCCTGGCCACTGTTTTAACATCACAAGTGCTGGATCTTCCCTTTCCAATTCTCCATTATCCTTATATTTCTGAATTAGTTTTTCAACAGTTACTTGATCCATGGCTCTACTCCATGTCAGTCCATTACTCTGCTTCAAACGAACCTAAAAACATAGGTATGCTCTAGCATAATATAATGACGATTAACTGATTTTAACTATGGAGGGTTTTAAGACTTGCCACAGAGCGATCCATATGCTGGCATCTCACCTTTCCCTCACAATTTCATTTTCTCATAAAATAACAGAACCAAAACAATTACAGTAATGAACACAAATTGTATCTTCACGCCGCCGAAAAGGAAATTATGGTTAAAATATGTCCCGAAAAATTTTTATTTTCAATGTTTACGAAGTGAACACAACGGTAAAACGTTCATCAATTAACTGAATTTCCAAATCATAAAAGCTCAAAGTTTTACCCACTTCTGGGATAATTGAGCTTACTTTCATCCAAAACTCAACGTCATATTCATTTTCCAAGCCAACATCTTGATGTCGATCAACGCCAGGCTTTGGTTCTTGTTCGCAGTTATTTACTTTTCCGTTGTGCTGTTCTTCTTTACTCATTTCTGAATCATATATTTCCAAGCATATCAGTCCTAAAGCTTAAAAACTAATCCAGTCTTAGTTGCCTAACAGAGACATAAAGTGCCCTTCGCGAAAGCAGTTGACAGGATGCCCAATGTGCCGCTCACTATTATCGCTTATCGGGGGCTATTTCCTGAAACCGCAAACCTTTTGGTCAGCAACAGAAGGCAATCCGATAAATCCATATGGACAGGAAAAGAAAACAAACAGACAACTGGTGTCTCGCAAGATTTACTAAGAAAATATCAAGATTCATTGCTAGCAACCACAACAACAACAACACAACAAGGCTAGGAACACGACAGACCTCTCGAACACAGAATAGGTTGCCTTCTGTTATCGATATTCTTTTCTTGATATGTTAGTGTGGTCGTGTCAGTGTTTGTGCTTTTGTTTTGTTGTTGTATTTTTTTCCAGATGCCTGTGACCGTTCGAAAAGACTTATATTTTTAAAATAGCGTGTTATTCTGCGAGTTATCAGCGTTTTTATATTCACCGTTGTCATAACTTGAAATTTAGCAAATCGATTCCATTTTGCCATCTCACGTCCCAACTATTTCAAGGTTCATTTTTTTCGCGGTATTGGCCTGATGATCGTCTGCGACGGATTTTGTTGACCGCATCGCTCCGTCGATGGCATGGGAAGTAATAAAGAAACAAATCTAACACACTGTTCGTTTGAATACTTTTTAGAGGGGAAGAGAAGATGCTCAAGCGAATTATCTAAAATCCATGAACTCACAAAAAAGTGTTTTCATTTGAATTGAACACAAAATCACCAAAATTTCAAAGAATCGATTAAATCTTTTTAAAGACAGAACAGCTGTAATTTCACAGACCGTTCATATCACGTGCCTCTTCCTTACACAGAGTTGTCAGAATTTTGGCCAAACGAAATAGATTCATTCTGATCAGTCAACTTGCGCCATCTAGCATCAACTCTTGCCGGCTAACGCAAATCAAGTGGCGTCAAACTTTACAAAACGTTCCACACAGAAAGTCGCGAAAATACGTGAGAAGGCATGTATTCACTACATCTCTGGATCACCGCCTAAGAATTGGCTGCTAATGAAGCGCACTATTGAATCCCGGCTTCTTAGCATTTTTATGTGCACTTTCTATGGCATGTCGGCCATGAGTTTTGTTAATTTTTCGAGTCAATTTTTTCATAGCATTGAGCAACTCGATCATTCCACACTTTCACCACCACTATATATCAGGCAGCCTATCGACCGTAGTCGTGGTGTTTAAACGGTGCCATTTCAGTTTCTCCTCAGTGGTCTATTTCAGAAACACTTGAATTCGTCGGGCACAACTACGAACTTAAGTGCACAGGACATATTAGTTCGACTTTCTGTGCATATCTGTTCAACACACGCGGGATTTCAAGGAGTCAGAAATGAAATACGTTATGCTTCTTTACACAGAAAGCGAAAAGGACAAAGCCAGGAAACTACGCGATTATTTGCAATGTAGGCTGTGTAACATGGCAGACATGAGAACCATTACTCAAATTTCAGCTGAGGAAGATGATTTTAGGAGTGAACTTCGCTGCCAAGGGGACTGCATCGTTTTGGTCGGATCACGCCACACTTCGACCCTCATAAAGGAAAAAAAACAAGAGGGCGACGAAGATTTCCTTACTTTTGATGGGAAGGTTATACACGAAGAGTTCACGGGGAACAGAGAATTTATTGACAAACTGATAATTGTATACTTGACGACGGAAAGAGCCAATGATGACTGGATCCCAGATGGTCTTGATGAAAAGAGGATCTTCAATATGCAGGGCGAAAAAATTGTGGAAAGTCCTTTGCTGTATCAGCTTGAGTATTCCATAAGGAAAATATTGCTTGGAGATTCCTTTATGATGTAGAGAACACAACGTTTCATAAATTACGAGAAACTGAAGCTGAAAGACATTTAGTAAGGACTTCGATTTGATAAGTTTTTGTGCTGTTAAGCAGTATTTGCTGCAGTCCTTTCCATTATAAATTATACATTTAACGGTCAGACGGTGTGTAATCAGAGACAGTTAATGTCTAAACAAGTGTAATCAGAAAATTCGAAAATTGATCTTTTTGACATTTGTTCAGAATGTAATCAAGTATAAATTCTAAGAGATGAGCAATCTGTCTTACGGATGGAACGAAATTCCACGGAAACTACAGGCAAAAGACGGATTGAAGTTAGATTTTTGAGATAAATATCAACGTGAGAAAATAAGACAGTAGTTAGATAAATCAGTAAGCACTTCGAACCACGCTACATTTGTGCAATTAATTTACTATTGTAAAAGTACAGCTTGATTTACAAAGTTGCGTGAAACTATAGTGTCGCCATCATGAACTTGCGAAAACAAACAAAAAAAGTGTTAATTGAGAAGACGAGGGTTGGTCGTAAAATATTTCCCTAGGAGAGCTTGATGAGACCTTTACATTGAGGGTCTCGTTGGGGTGATGGCTTTAAGGCTAACGGTTAAAATTTTAGCCACTTTACGGCTAACGGTTAATATCTTTCCGCCGTTGTCACCAAAAATATTTTATACGGTAAACTTTTTTTACAGCTAACTTTTGAAATTTGCCAGTTTTTACCCCTAACTACCAGATTTTGTTTGGCCGGTTTACGCCTAACGGTTAACCCCACTGAGACACTTTACCAAGCTCTGGGTCTGGGTCTCGTGAGAATTTGAAACGCACCCATGGTTGTACACACACAGAACTTTAAAAGCTAGGAGTGACTACTGCTTGTGACATCCTCATGGAAGCAATCCAAGATAACTTGGGGAGCGGACTTTAGTATTTTATAATCTTTCTATCATACTAACTTGCATTTATAAGTCATTTTTTGCATTTTCCTCTTGAATCGAGTCGCTTAAGTCGGCTCCGTTGTTTCCTCGCGTGGTTACGTTATCTCTTCATTTAAATCAGCTATCTGTCACACCGGTTTTCACTCTTTTTTTCCTTTATTTTCGTCCGCACTGTTTGTTCTCACTGTTTGTTTTTAGAATAATAGCCCTGATTGCTGCTTTGTGAGTGATTTGACGAAATTCTCATAACGACCACCACTCTTTTTCCCTTAAAGACAGTTCACGTCCAACATTGTCACATAAAAACCAGCATTGATTACAATGGCCGAATGACTGTGTCACAGAGTCATGCACACAGACACTCGTTCTAATCTTGTCCGGGCCTCATCTCACCATCTTTCTCATCGTATCCCTGGAAAAAGAAACATGGTTGGGAAACTGAAGGGAAATCTACTTGAATGTCAAAAAGTCTAAAGTAGTCTCAGAGTTCGTTGGTTTTGCTAAGTAATAGTAAAACAAAGGTCGCGCTTTCCTTTCAACCAACTTAATCAGATTCTGAACTGAAACAAATCGTAGTCACGAGTCCTTCTCAATCGTTCTTTGAAATGTCACGCAACTCTTCACCCAAGAGAGGCTTCATTAAAATACGTTACGTGGCACCTCAAAGGACGGCCTCGAAGTACGGCCGCGAAGTAGATAAATGTATCCGCTCTTATAGCAGTTTGCTTGTTTTACCTGAGTTCTTTTGACTGTTTAAGCTATTTTCCTTTGTTCTCAATGTTACTATGATAATTTATCTGTTGATTTTACGACTCTCGTTCGAATTGCGCTCTACATACTGAGAAAGGGAAGCATTCACGGAATCCTTATCACCTGATCGCATTAAGAGTCAACCCGCTACCGTTCCGGTTGATTTTACTTAGGTTCTGTTAAAATGTATACCACACTCTTGAATTAAAGGATACGTGGTAAAACGATAAGTAAAAGAACTCATTGAACTAAAAATATCATAGTTAACCGTCACGTCTCGTAGATATTTATGTGGAACAAGCATTTTGACTATATAAACAAAGAAAAAAACAAATACTTTCTATGAAAAAAATTACTCAAAGGTGACCTTCATTTTTCGAACACGTTATGTTAATCACCCTTAGGTTTACTGTCAAGAGTGTCGGTTACAAATTGAAGCAGTTTCAAACAGTTTTACGAAAGCTCGGTGGCGTTTTCCTTTTGTTGTTTACTTAGCCTTTATTTACAACCAATCGATGGCTTGAACGCATTTTATACTGCCCTAGGCTTTTAGATCTGATTGGCTCAGCAATCGTATAGCGTCAATGCTGTCGTATGAAAATTTCCAGTTAAATGATTAAAGATATCAGCGCATAAAAAAGGAGACTAGGGAAGTAATCCCACCATAATCATGAAGGCAGATAGAGCTCCATTCATCCGCTTCCAGGCCTCATCTGTTTCACCATCTTCCTCATCATATCCCTGAGCAAAAATCACAACAAAAGATGTGAAACATGGCCACTGACACAGAAGAAGATGAGTGCATGTAAGTATGTCTCAGTTTCGAAAGCCCGTCAGTTGTTGATGAGAGAAAAAGTTAATGAAAGAGAGGGAATATGATAAGGAATGATAGTTACCGGATTGCAGCAAGTTTTTCTTCCACCGACTCCCAAGGGCTGCGATCCTCACTGAATTCAAGAAGCTCTACAAATAAACCAAGATCACATTTGAAGCGCCTTGCAGCTGCTAAGGCATAGGAAGACAAAGTATATTCTCTCTGTTTAATTGAGTAAAAGGTCTCCTTCATCTCACCTCTTTCAGAAAGTTACAAATAAGCAACAAGATTACAACAACAAAAAAAACTGTTTTCTCATACTGCTGCATATAACAATGGAGCTGGAAGCAGTCCTAGTAAAATTATTCACTCATACCTTGCGCGAGTTTAATTTCACTGATCCAATCTCCCTCTTTGTAATACTTCACACGCAAGTTCTGCATAAGGAAAGAAATATATAAAACGAGGAATGCTAATATTCACAACCTCCTCCTTCCCCTGCCGGTTCTTTATCTCCCTCATAGACGCCGCACATTCATTAGCGACGAATGCGTTCATACCAGAAAAGGAAATCTCTCCATGCGAGTGAGCTGTAAAATACGATCCACATCGTATTCCAGACGAGCGATTTTCTTGGCCTGTGTGTATGTCGTACTCATCTGTGCAATGAGAATATTGAGGAGAATCACAGTCACTGTTCCCATGTAAGCCATCATCAGCAGAATTGAAAGCCAGCTGCAAGATACAACACTGGGATTAAAAAATTGCAAACTTTCCAAAACAGAGCCACCTTCAGGATTATAATCCCAGCTACAGAAATATTGTTCTCTTAAGAAGATGCCTGCGTGAAAGGAGGTCTGCAGCTGATTACTTGACTGGAGTACAACGACTAAGGGCAAGCTTACAATTGCTTTTCGTGATGGAGAAGCACCATTAGCCACGCTCTCGTTCGAAACTACGACGGATAATATAAACTGATTTGTTGAGACGTGTTCGCATATTTTGTGCCTATAATTGCAACGTCCAAGTGGTAGATATCACTAAATAATCTAGATAACCAAAATTGCTAAAAATAATTTCTCCTTGTCAGTCGCACTTACTTGAATGCTGAATAATCTTCTACCACCATAGGTTGTTGTTCAGTCAATGCACGAAATCCGCTGATAAACACGTCTTCAAGGTTCCTAAAACAATAATATGCGTAATACATTATACGTAAATACAAAAATCATCGCAAATTTAAATGATAAATTTTTCAGCACTTAACTCGGGCTCAATGAATACCATGCCGTTTTGGAAGCTCATATTTCCTTGATTCAAATAATCCTCATTGTAATCTTGAAATGTAAATATTGAGAATTTCTCGGTCAACCAAACCAAATAGTTTTGATCTTAAAACTGCCAACTAACACTGGCATTGTTCCTTAAACAAACCAATGAGCAAAACCCCCGCTAGAAACTCTTTTCCAGAATAAAACAAAGCTTCATGAAGGAGAAATCAATACACACCTAAAGTGGTGGTTTTCAGTGGAGTAACGGTGAGATAAAGCTATTGCACCACAGAAGGAGAGGAGGATGACAACGAAAACAGTCATAGATTTGGTGACATCGTGTAAAATGATCTTCGCCAAGGTTTTGGTGTATAACCCTGTAGTCCTGGAAAAGATGCGAGGGTGGTTAGACGTTTGAAAACGCAAATTTAAATCAATCAACAGAAAGGAGAAAAAACAAAGCAAAAAGCAATTTAAAACTCTGAGAAATTGAAAGAAACGTGTCAAATAGTATCTGAAAATGCTCGATCGTGGGCGAATCATTGGACCTTAGCGCGTGTCACAGTTACGCTTAGTTTGCTTCCAATTTGCTTTTGGATTGTAAATAATGTTAAAGGACTGCGAAGATATAAAAATCGCATAAGTGACCTACGGATTAATAAATGAATGCGAAAGTAATCTTCACCGGCAAAAAGCACTACTGCTAATTTCCATTATTGCTTAAGTAGAGTTCACTATTGCGATTACTCTCGTATTCATTTAGTATATAAATAACATTATTGACTACTAAAGTGGCAAGATATTTTATCAAAGTGCAGCGCTAACTATTTGACTTAAAAAAAAAAGCTCTCAAAACTAGATTCAAATTTTCTCAGTTTTCTCTATGAGAATCTAAAATCGGCAGAACCGACGCCTAGGCCTTAAATCTGAAATCTGTGTTAGATTTATAAATTGACTCATTACCAATGTAAGCAACTTATTCCAAAGTGTTAATAGTCTTGACTTTTACGACGGTTACAACGGGTGCGAAGGTTACCTTGTCACGCAGGAAAACTTAAATATCCTCAAGAAGTTGAAAAGGAAGGCTAAGGAAGCCACCCTCCACTGTAACTTGCTGTGAGTGTACCGTAGAGGTATTATACACAGGATCAGCAGCAGGCCTAACCAGTCAAACAGGGTCATCCAAGCTGTGAAGTAGGTGCTCCCATCTCTGATAAAAATCAGACAAAATAAAGTTTGTTCTTGTGTATTCATATATGTGACTCTCTTAATGATAACGCGATTAATTCAGTGGCCTTTTTTTTTTTCAGGTGTGATCAATCAGGGCTGCTAGGCTCTGTCCTCAACTAGCGCTCCCTTCCCTTCCTCAACCCAGGCCGTTCCCTATTGCGTTTACCCTATCAGCAGACTTTCTGGACTCTTGAAATATTACTGCCGTAAATGGAGAGTCAATCAATAGAGGAGTTTATGTTGACTAGTTTCCTTGTTCTTCAGAGTTAAATTCATAAGTATCATCGGATTTCCAACATGGAAAACAGTTGACAAATGTACAAATTATATGAACAATGGCCGAACTGCATCATGTGGCAGGCTTGGTCACATGGCATAACAATAGATTTTACGAAACGTTTAGGGAGAACAAGAATCATATACAAACACAAAGACACAAAGAGGGAAATTCTATCTTGTCACTGTGAGTACTGTTTTAACGCTTAGAAATGCTAAAATGTGACATAGAAACTGATCTACAATTGCATGGTTTTATCATCTTAAATCTGTTTGAAGCCAAAATGAACCACTTTGCAAAAACAGGACGTATTTAAACAAGATTTAAATTCCGTTTTCACCAAGGGGTAATGATTCCCAATGTAAATTGAGCTTTCAATTGTGAGGCGCTCGTCTGATTAAGAACAAGTGTCACTTACACTCTCATCTGATTGAATTCCTCACAGATATAAAAGACAGCCATAGCAAGAGTGACAACCTCGCAAATTCCACGCAAGAAATCCGTCACACCCCTGTACTGGGTAGGATCCGTTCTTGTTGAGCCATGTATCAGAGAATACGACAAGAAGAGCAAGAAGATGACATAGAATGCCGCTTGAAGGCTGTGGAAAGCAAGCAAGGTTAAATTCGTACATAATTATGTTGACTGTATCATCCTGATGAAAGTTTCAAGTGGTGAAGCCTTTTCAATTCTCTTTTATATTTACTACTCCTCGAGATAAAAATTGCCTCTGGATGTTTTTGTTCTAAAGATTAAACCTCATAAATTTAAACAAGTAATTTATTCATAATTTTTTTATAGAAGCTAATTGACCCCAGCTCTTAATCTCTCTGAGAGAAAGTAATCAACAACTCAGATAGTTTGCAATGGGATACCAGCTTAATTCCCCCTTTAAGAACATTCTCTGGTCTGCCTTGACCTGTAAGTTATATTACTTTAACCCCAAAAAATCATCAAACAAATTTACCAGAGAAATACAAATCCATAACTGTTCCATTTTGTTTTAATCAACATCCTGACCACAGGATGCTGCAAAGCCTCCTGAAATTGAGAGTAAGAAATATTTTTTGTAAGAAATTTGTTACAGTGCAAGCTAGTACAAGGTGTCTAATTTTCTTGGCTATTTTAAGTATGTTCATTGAACTGTTAGAGTCTGACAAGCAGTTCAAAACAGACTGCAACAGCCCCCCTTTTTTTATAAATCCAAGAATATGGAGAAATATGATTAATACCTTTGGCATCAGTTTGTTACCCTACCATATGTTTGCTCTTTGCAATCAAGTGTAAGCATGATTTGTCCTTGAGGCTAAAGTACTTGTTATCAATCTGTTTATCTTCCACTGCCTCTATAATCTTTGGAGGTCTTCCTCCTTCATTACCATCCAAAATGTGATAATAAAAATGATAGCTCAAGGGATCATCAGTAATTGTACTCCAGGCTCCTTCAATTCCTTCTTCCTCTTCATCTGTGTCATAGGTGTCTTTGCATTGTGGTAGATAAGGCCAATGGGGAATCACCATTTGGTCCAATAAAGCTTCTACTGTTTTCTGAAAACGTGATGATAAACAATCATCTTTTGTATCAATATGAACCAGACGAGAAGGTTCTATTGATTCTCTATGTTCTGTGTGTAAGGACATCAAGATAGTAGCTTCAAGGTCATGGAGATAATAATGAATGCACTTCAATTCAGCACACATCTTCTTAACCCTTTAAGCCCCAATATCAACATGTATATTCTCTTCACTGTTTCTCCATATGTTTCTTATTTTACTGATTGAGAGAATTTGTTCAAACATCAAGACATCTCATCATTAGTGATCATCGCATTCATTCTCATTACCTGTATATTTTATCAAGCAGTTATATTGTTAGGAGAAATTAGATGCTGGTCACTATTGGGGCTAAAGTGTTAACCCTTCAAGTAATCTGTTATGCACAGATCAACTCGGATCAAATTCCCCACCCCACCCCACCCCACCCCACCCCACCCATGCAAACTTGAAATTCTCCACCTCTGGGAAGGCCTTTGAATCAAATGCCAGTCACTTTGTGGCTTTGAATTGATCAATGCACTAGTTGTCTTTATAAATATCTCCTTACCTTCATTTTGGGATTCTCAATAATGGAATGTAAATTGAAGAAAGATGGCTGAGGTTTTCTCATATCATCAGGTTTCCAAGAAAATAACCTTTGCACACTAAAGAGAATTGGGATAAAATTAAAGAATAAAATTTATGTGAAACTAATTAATAGGTTATTTTAAGAATTTATATTCTGATTGTTTTACTACCCCTCTCCCCTCCACACTGCTGACTTGATGGTTATTATCATTTTTGAGCTCAGGTTGAGAGGTCTAGATGTAATTCCTAGGGAGATCAAGGTGCTGTATTCTCAAGCAAGACACATGACTAAAGAGAGAAAGGAAGACATCCCATGATGGAATGAAGCATTCCATCCAGGGTGACAGTAGCGACACATCTAGACTAACCCTTTTTTTCCAACCGATGTCACTCTACCTTTCATGCCACATCATTCTGATCAAGTAAGCAGCCATCTCATCATTGTCTGCCACTAATGCCACCTCAGCTGGTAACAAACGTCTGATTTTCTCAGGTTCTACTTGTTCTGCTGTCCTCAGACCAAGGAGCAAAGGACACTTTTTTACAAGTGTTTTTGCTACATCTAAAAAACCAAGTTCTGCCACATAATGGATTAATGTCCTCTTGATTTTGTCTTCTTTGTCTCTGAACTTCTCATATTGGTTGTCTAAGTTCATTTCACTATCTAGAAGAATCTCCAAATAACGATTTATCTGTAAAGAGAAAATGCCAAGTGCTTCATTCGACTCGATAAAGAAAGTTACCATATTTTTACAACAAAATTAGGTCATTTATTCAAACAAATGTGTAGTTTGCTATGTTTTGACAATCATTGCAGAACCCCATCCCATGTTAAATTTTAACAGGGATTTTAGGCATACAGCTTGCAAAGGTGTACAAAAAGACCAAACATCATTTGTGTTCAAAGCCTAAAAGACAACAACAACAATAACAACCTAACAGATTACTATGTATAATATTATTAAATCAGTTCTCTGACACTCTTAATTTTGCTGTTACTTCAGGGATCTGTTACTCGTCCATGTTTTCATTTGCCTTGAATGGTTGTATTTCTCTTAAAAGAATGTCATGGTTACAATAATAATAATAACAATAATAATAATAATAGTGATTAAAAACTGTATGATCTCTTGATGTTTACAGCACAGCTTACATTTACCCTTACAAGCAGACATTTATGCATGACCAAAGGCCAGACAAAATTCTCCCAAACTTAAATACTTCCTTTAGAGAGCTGTAAGGATTAGATTCTTGGTAAAGAGCAAGGATACATTCCTGAATATATGATACAAGCTCCATTCAACAAATCCGTTAAGAAAGAAGGGCAGATGTCATGGAACAGGGCAATAACTTCAATCCGGAAATAATATGTAAGACAGCTATTTCATACAGAACTAACATACCACTTGTTCAAGGCCTGGAAGTTTATCAGGGTTACTTTTGTACTTTCTAGATGCTGGCCAAGCTTTTAACATTGACAGTGCTGGATCATCACGGTCCAGTTCCCCATTATCTTTGTATTTCTGGATCAGCCTTTCCACAGTAACTTCATCCATTGCCCTGTTCCATGACATCTGCCCTTCTTTCTGCCTCTCATGGACCTATACGTAAAAGATGATCGCTAACCTGGAGCTGAATGGCCATTTGACTTAAACACATCCCGAGGTTATAAATCGGCGTTTTGAGCTTCTAAGGTACTCACCTGCCCCAAAATAAAGCTTAGTTTTCGATGAGGATCAGACACATTTATTTCCGACATACACGTAGTTCGTTCTGATATCATAAAATACCTGACATAAGAATTTTTCCTCTGAGTACATTTCACGAGGCTCACCTTAATCCAAAATTCCGTGTCCAGTCCATCTCCTAAAACATCGTCTTGTTGATCTCCTTCAAGAGGAGGTTCTTGCTTATTGTTGATAGCACGTAAATCAATGTGCTCCACCAACTGTTGGAGTGCTTTGCTCATTTTATAGTGGATTTTCAACAACCACATCTGTGCTGCTTGCAAAGTACGCCACTTACGCGACGACACTGTGTGATGTGTTCGGAAACTTGTCGGGCCCAGAAAGATTTCGGAACCTCACCGACGCCAATCGTTGAATTCCGAAAGTATTTACCCTATGCAGAACGAAAAGAGACTGGGAGCGATCAACTTGAAAACGAGGCTAGTTGGGCCTTGTTTACTCGTGTTAGAAATATGGCCGCTCATGGCTCTGTAAGTAGCCGTCTTTCTCAGAGTCTTACGGAGGAAGATATCCCCGGAGCATCGCTTCAGGGAAGAAATCCGACTGCTCTTAAAACAGATGAACTTCGCTTTTGGTTGAAATGTCGTGGCGATCCAGCAAAGGGGTTAAAAACAAAGGCACAATTGTCGAAAAGGTAAGTACAGTATTTGTCAGTCGTTCGTGATACTTTTTAGAATTAAAAGAGACTTTGATATTGTAAATGGAGATCAAAATATTTAGGAGTTATTTTTCTCGATGAAATGTTTCAAAAATGTAATGATTAATAGTTTTTCTACTTTTCATTTTGAAGAGTTCTTGAATATGTTGCGTCTGGTCGTGATAAATATGTTGTGGATCCCGATAAAAATCTGATATACACGCGTCGAAAGGCGAGACAAGAACAACTCGCTCAAAGTGATGCGATGCCTGAGGAAAGTACTGTTAAATTTCCATCAGCCGGATGGTCTACAGGTTTGCAACGAATGCCATTATTCACAAGGGCAGAGATGGATTTACATATTTCTAAATCTGGAAAAAACTTTGACAGAAATAAACAGAACCATGCTGTTCCAACAAGCATGAAAAAGGCAAAAACATTTCTTGATGATGAATACCTGAAAGACTTTACTTGCGCAAGTGATGACCAATATTTCTATTTCAAATGCTTGTGTTACCATAGCTTTAAGAAAATGAGCCACCCCACAAATTACAAGTTGCACTTTGTTTAGTGAGTGGAGTTGTTAAATATGCTTCGTGTACATGTGTAGCAGGATCTGTTGGTTTTTGCAATCATGTGCTTGCTGTTATTATGAAACTCTGTAAGTTCAGCTTGTATTGTTGTCAAGATATTAAGGACTTGGAAAATGAATCTGATATGACACAAGCTAAGGCATGCACTTCAAGTTTACAACTATGGCACAGGCCTGTAAGAGGAGATAAAATCAAGCCCCAACCTGTCATGGAACTTGAGGTAAAAAAGTCAAATATAGACACAGAGTATAACCCTGATAGTGGAGTAAGGTGCTTGTTGTATGAAGCTAGGAAAAATTTGGGTACACAAGCATCTGATGAAGCTTTGTTAAAAACAAGCTTCAAGAGATCAACCCCAAGTTTGCCTTGTCTCAAATTATGTCTACTGGTGGTACCAACTTACAGGAAACAAAATTTGGAAAATGTCCAAGTGGCTCATATGCAAGTTACCAGTTACAGTTCACAGAGTCTAATTTTCAAGTTTTCTGTAATATTGACTCAGTGCCTAGAGTGGACTGTAATGATGAACAAAATGCTATTTCTGTATATCCTCCATTCCCTTTGCAACAATCTGAGCAGTATGAAAAGCCAGATGATTTAAGCAGCAACCAGGAAGCACTCCTGGATCATTTGATTGTTGATGAGGCAAAGCTTAATACCATAGAGAAGAAAACAAGTGAACAAGCTGCCTCACAGGAATGGCAGGCTGAAAGGAAATTTCAGTATACAGCATCTAATTTCCACACAATTGTAAAAAGGCAAAGGAATCGTAACACTCTAGTAAATAATCTGCTTCATCCCAAACCATTCACTGCCAAAAAAACTGTACATGGGAAAACCTATGAGCCTGTAGCCTTTAGATAATATGAAAAATATATGTTTTCAACAAGGAACCCAGTTTCAGTGTTGAAAAGTGGCCTTGTTGTCAGTATGGCCTCTCCCTTTTTAGCAGCATCACCAGATGGCAAGGTCATTGACCGAGGCTGTAGCAAGCCTTTTGGGCTGGTAGAGGTTAAATGTCCCTACTCTAAATTTCATGTGAGTCCTTTAGAAGCATGTGCCGATGAAACTTTTTATGCAGAAAATGTAAATGGAAAGCCGAGGCTAAAAAGGGGGCACCAGTACTACTTTCAGATACAGGGTCAACTAGGTATTACAGGAGCAAGTTGGTGTGACTTTGTTATCTATACTAACAAAGGCATGAGTATAGAGAGGATCACATCTGATCCTCAATTCTGGGACGTATTGAATGAAGGCCTAAAGAAGAGCTATTTTGAACATTTCATAGCACCAGCTTCTGTGGAGTTCAGTAACCATTAGAAGGGTTAACTACCCTAATCTAATCTTGGAACGAGTACAGAGAAATTTTGTGTCTCATACCTAACTGATATGTTTAAAACAGAGTATCAACCAACATGGTCGGTATAATAAGATAGCTTTCTTTATTCTTTGATCTTAAGATCTTTAGAACTACATGTAAAAGCTGACATCTTTTAAGTGTTTGGGACTGAAAGCAAGCGAATCACATTCTTAGTTTTAGTTGGTTTAGAGAATATTTGACCTGAGGTGGATAAGCAGGTTTACATTTATTAAATTGACTGAAATTCTGTAGTATGCCTCAGAGCTCTGCCTAACTCAGTGTTAAGTGGAAATAAGAGGGTCCTGAATGTTACATAAAAAGGCACAGACACTCCACATTTGGTTTACTACCCCAAACAAACTGAGGGGTACAACACTATCCCATAAGTGAAAATTCTTGATTTTATTGATGGCCCGTTCAACATGTACTCTAATAGAAGCAATTTCTTGAGTCTTGATAACATCTTCTGCTGTCATTTGGCTATTAGACCCTAAAAAGGGGGGAATGTTTAGGGTTACACCTAGTGGGAGTAGGTCTTCAATTGTAAAACCTTTATCAGCCATCACAGTGTCACCATTGTCAAATTCTAACTTCAGGAAACCACTTTGTTCAACAATTTCGCGATCGGAAATGCTTTCACTATATAGCTGACTGATAAAAGTTATAGCTCCACTGGGAGCAATTCCAACTAAGCCTTTTAGAGTTACATGGTTCTTATAGGAGCTGAACAATTTGGAATTCAACAGAAGGCTGGAAGGCATTTGGCATCTAATTTCTGTACAATTGATTATTACACGGGTGCAAGAGTATTTCTCTTTAAAGCTGTCAGGCATTGTAGCTCTTATAACCTCCCTATTAGGCCATATAGATACTTGACCAAATTTTAAATACATGTAATTTATCCAAGAAAGGAATGTTCTGCTTACTGTTGACTGCGAAATACCAAACAAGTGAGCTAGATGTTTTTCTGCAAATCCCTTCTCAGTCTGCAAAAGAGCAAGGAAGAACTCCTCTCTGGGTTCTAAGCTTCTTCGTCTACCTATGCTAGTACATCCCTCTGGTTCCTCGTTTCCACTATCGTAAAACTCCTTTTTTGGACAGTTCTTTCTTTTGATGAACAGTACCTAATGTTTTCCCCTTTCGATCCAGTATTTAAAATTCAAAAACAACATTAAATGTTGCTAAATTAGGAAATCCCGTATAAAAGGCAATGTCCTCGTCGGTAGTAACATTGCGTATCTGAAAAAAAATACCTAAACCTATTAGTATACTTAATACCTCTATTTCAGCCTTTAACTTCGCATTTTCAAGTTCAAAACCTCGAATTCCTTCAAGTTTTTTAACTTCTTCTGTTTGATCCTCACACGAACTTAAGCTGTTTTCCACATCATGATAACTAAAAGCTGCTGATGAAGTACAGGTTTCAGAAGTTGCTTCAGCTGCATCTGCAGTTGTTTGACTTTGAGATGATTGCAACTCCTTGTTTGAACACTCTTTTGTAGACGAAAGATTGCGACATTTAGGAGGTGCTCGCTTTTTCGGAGAACCTTTGGACCACGAAAATCGACATGGAATTACCCCTGCCTTTACATAAACACGCTGACCTCCAATAGCCTTAACCAAGTCCTCGGGCTTAAAATGACGAGAACAGATCTTCGTGTTTTGGTTGACTCTAAACGCTTTTCCTTCGTCTCGACGAATGGCATGGAGCCAAAGTTTTTTGACGATAACTTCAAGTAAGAAATTTTCTCCCCGTTTTCGGTTCTGTAATTCTTTTTGGTACAGTTTGGAACACAACAATTTTGCGGCATTTTCAAAAACTGGCGCCCTTCACATCAGGCGGCCATTTTTATTTACCAGGCCCAACTAGCCTCGTTTTCAAGTTGATCGCTCCCAGTCTCTTTTCGTTCTGCATAGGGTGTATTTGAAGTCGAGGAAAGCCATAAAGAACTTTCAATTTGTCCCAGACATAGCGACGACTTCGGGACTAGATGGTTGTGCAATAAAAAAAAAATGCTCCTATCCATCGGATTGGGCTCCACATGGGAAGTCTTCTCGGAAAGGTGATCGAGGCATGACTCTGCAACAGTCTCAAAAGCTTTATGCTTTAACATCTACACTTCAGTTCCGGTGGGGGTCACGTGAGTATACATCAGAATTCCATCCTGACCGCCACCTTGATAAGAGATAGCATCAGGATAGAAGAAGAGAAAACTACCCTCATTGATAAAAGCAAAGATACTCTATGTGCAAAAGCTGACAGAAGGAACAAGCACACAACCTCAAATGGCCAGCTTTACTGTACTGATGTCAAGCTCGACAAAACTTTCGGAAGGCTGGGCACTGTGGGCGTCTAAGAAATCAAAGCATTTCAACGAAAACCAAAAGAATTATCTCGATGAAAAGTTCAAACTTGGCCAGGAGACTGGTTACAAAGAAGATCTATCCCAAGTTGCGAGTGATATGCGTCGCGCTAGAAATGAAAACGGAGAGCGTCGATTTGCTGTTGGCGAGTTTTTATCACCACAGCAGATAAAGTCGTATTTCTCAAGGTCAGTAGCGAAGATCAAACAGGCGGAATCGGTAGCAGAGATCGATGTACCAGCCATTGATGAAGAAATGGCATACTCCTCAGCTCATGACAAGATAATTCAAGAGTGCCAGCTTAGTCATCCCATTTTGTATGACACATACCACCTCTGTCAACTGTATGCCACGAACAAGCTTACTCGTTTCATTATTTCTTTCCTTCAAGATATATGCACATATTTCCAATTGGAAATTGATTCCCTTCCTGCTACACGAAAAGCGCCATACGTTGGTCTGATCAATGAACTGATAAATCCGTGTACGTGCAAAGAAAAATAGGAACTTTCCAGCTGGAAGTGACCATAGTCTTCGTATTCAGAAAGTAATGACTCCTGGAATAGAGGGACACCAACATTATTCCAACTGCCTTGAGAGAAATAAGTAAAATAGGTGTATATGCGTCATACACGGCTACGATATGACATTATCCCTTTGTAGCTTTGTTATAAAAAAAATTGACAGTGAAAACCTCACGTTTACATAAACATGTTTTAGATCGAAGGATTTTATAAAGACCAACCTTGTTCTGGTAAAAACGTTGGTCATCTTCTTTATTATTTTCACTTAATGGGCTTCCCGTGTGTAACGCAATCACATACCATCGATCGCGCTGTGGTGACGAGAAATGGTAGCATGGATAAGTCTTGAAAACGGTGGAGCGGGTTAAAGTGCATACTCTTGGCATGGAAACCACTTCTAAAGGTAAAATTTTGTGTAATTATAGCCTGGACAATTCCTTTTGATGCTAAAAAAGCGTTTGTTATCGTTGGGTTGCAGTATTAGTTGCGAATATGACCGTTGTAAAAACATGAACTAGTAATTTGCACATACTAGACTATCGAAGATGGCCCAGATTGCCATGACATTTTTGGGTTCAGGAGAAAGTTATATGTATATTTAATATGAAGGAGACCTGTTTCGAAGTTTTTTTATGATATAAGAGGGAATTCGAGTGTTTTGGTAATGTTTTTCTTAATATGACGTGCAAGTCTCGTTGGTCACGTAAAGCGCCTCTTGAGCTCAAATACGCTTATATAAATCGCTCTAAAAATTAGTGGTTTAAATAGCCCAAAAACTTTATTGCAGTTTCTAAAAGAAGAAGCCTTGTTCTTGACAATGATTATTGTCTCATGGTCAGTTTATGGAGCCATGTGACAATGGCCGATTTTAGTCGCCAAAGTTGAGCTATGTTTTGATGGATGAAATTTCACCCGAATTAGAAAATTCATAAAAAAAATCATTTTTTTAAGGAATCTTGGAAAAAATACTTCAGAACCTTTGAAAAATATCTCTTGTTTTAGAATTGTTATGTTGTTTCCGAATTGCTGGCCAAATAAATTTTTTTGGCCGTTATCTTGAGGTGCACTATTTCACTGGGAAAACACGGTTATGAACCCCCAAAACACAAAATGTCACCGTTCTTCCAACATAATTTTTTTTCGGCATTTTTGATATTTTTCCATAACTAAGGCCATTTATACCTATGTTCTGACAAAGTTTGAAAAAATTTTAATTTTTTCATTTTCAACACCTCCGCTCGATTTTCACAGACGACCACTCTTAAACCACTTTTTAAGTTTTATCCAATGCTCTGATATTGTTTTCAAAGGATTAATTCGCTTGACGGTCTTCACTGCAGACTCATTTTAGCTTTTCAGTTTTTCAAAGCAAACGGTTTTGAAACATCTGTTGATGTTCGCTAAATGCAGTCTTTAAATCGAACTAAACGCTCAGCGTCTCGCTCACTTAGAAAAACCCACGTGGTCTGTCTCTTAATTAGCAGCTTTAGAACAAGCTTTAGCTTCAATAGATAATATCATTCGTTACCTACCTCTGCACTGTGTCGTTTTGGTCGACTAAACTGTTCAATGGAAAAATTTGCGGCAGATTTCTTTTAAAACTTTCATCACATATGCAACATTGTCAACCGATTCGTTCAATAAAAACTCGAATTACCAAGACTCCAAGAATTCGAAACAAGAGCCCTGTTTCGATTTTTACTGACAAGTAGGATTTTAACAAGCGTACACGTGCGTTCGAGAAGGACGAGCCATTATTTAGCGAGAAATTGAACAAATTTAGAACTAGATCAACTCAATATAAGTTATTTAAAGATTGTTAACTTGTACATTGCAAAATTTATTGCTAATTAATTCAGAATATTCATGATAATCCGTGAAAATGTTTAAATGTCAATGAAGGATCGATCGGCACCAGAGCAGCAACCATCTGAAACCGCATTCCAGCCAGTCTTTAACAAAAACTGTAATAGGCAATTTTGTTTCTTTCGCTTTCTCATAATAACATTCATGAGAGTATTATTTACGTCAAGAGATTGTAAGAGACTATATTCTCTTGTGCACGTATATTTTTCCTTCGATGAATAATTCATGCATTCAAAATAAAGTTCTGTTGGCATGTAAAATACTCTTTAAAAGCTTAGGTTCGTGTCTCCATTGCCTTCCATTTATTTGTTTTAAGTGACCAGCAAAAAATACTATCGACAGACCTCGAGCAAAAATTTAAGCGACAAGCGTTTTCTATCGGTCAGCTTTGCACCAAAAGTACTCATACGATCGTGTATGACTCGAGGATGGTCTAACTCCATGGACAGCAAAGTGCTTGTCTGATTGTCTGCTTCATTGCTCGTCTCACCTCACTAATCTTCCAGCAGTAAAGAAACGGGTTTAACGTCGAGTTAAAGTAAACTAAGATAGTTGCCATTGCAAATGCGACGCTTAAATGTGAGGAATATGTTTTACCATAAGTGGCTACAATTCCTACAATAAAGAATGGTGTATAACAAACAACTAATGCTAACTGTACCCACAGTGCACTGTGCACTGCCTTTCTGTATCGTGTCATGTGCAGTGCATTTGGTTGCCTCGGCTGTTGTTGAACGTGATCTTGTACTTGAGCCTGATGATGTCTTATAGTGCAAAAAATCTTCGTATACGAGGCGAGTGAAATAAGCAGTGAAAGTGGTATCAATACCCAGTAATACAAAACAATTATAAGCTGATCAAAAATGGCGCATATAGAGGCGACAAGACAAAACAACCAAAAGGTGGCTACAGTGATATAAATACGCTTCAAAGTTACAATCTCTTTGTATCTCAGGCCCAACAACAGGACGAGAAGTCTGTCCACGCTTATTGCCGTCATCGTAAGCAAAGAAACTCCACATAATAAAGAGCTTGTTATGATATCTGTTTCCGCTGCGTAATGACAAAGACTGCCGTGTTCGTGAACCACGGACATCCAATAAGTAACATAGAGAGGCTGAGCAGCAAGGCCAACCAACAGATCAGTTGTTGCCAGACAACGATACAAGAGTTTGGACGGCGGATAAAGGGAAGATTCTTTGTTAAGGGCAACAAGGATAAGAGAATTACTAAGAAATGTTGTGATGGAGAGGAAAATATTGACTGCTACGAAAGAAACTGATGCTGATTGAAGCCCACCCACGAAAGAGGGAGAGCATAACAGTTCATCGAAAGTTTTCTTCTGTGTTCCACCACTACTGAAATTTGTTCTCGGCATTACTCTGAATTCGTTTCCTTTTTCTTGCACTGAGGTTTTCAGTAAACACTTTGTCTAAATAGCACACGCCGAACGATGATAACTGAAACCTCATTTAATAAACACATAATGACTTCCTCACTAACGTTTAAGCATTTAAAATGCATCAGAAATTTGCAGCTGTGGTTTGCCTCAGGTTTAAAACTGATGCTGATTGATGCCCACCCAATAAAGAGGGGGAGCATAGCAGTTCTTCAATTGTTTTCGTCTGTGTTCCAACTCTTCTTCAATTTTTTGTAGGTTATCTGAGATTGCAACGAGTAATATGTCGTCTAAACAGCCCACACCAGCCACGATCAATGAAACCTCATAATTCAGTAAATGATATTCATACACATAGAGAATTCCTCATCGGCGTTAACTCATTTAAAATCTTCTGAAAATTGTCAGTTGTGTTCAAAAATTGAACCTTTGAAGTGCATCAGGTATGAAATGGAAATAAGTAGAAAATTGAGAGACATCTGTGGTATCATTCTTTTAAAAGAACGACAAACAATCTTCTTTTACCTGGATCAACATTCACTGATAGGGTGCTAACCTGGTGTCCATATTATTCGTGTGAAGTTCAGACTTGTGTCATTAGTAGCCATGAAAAATTGGAAATGAAAATTTCAAGCTGGCGCGATTTTATTTGGTCTTAGAAAAGTGCGATTTGAGACAATCTGCGAATGCATCAAACAATTTAAATGTAAATTTTGGTCACAGATGTAAACGTATTTTTAAATGTTTGAATCAATTTGTAATGACAGGTTTTTTCTTTCCGTTTTTCGTCCCCGGACTGATATTAAAAGCAAAACCGTAACAAGATGTTATGCCGCGCGCCATCGATTTTTCAAACTCGTTCTCTACCAGCTTTTTCACTTTCGTCAGGAAAGTTATGATGATTTTTTTAACCAAAACTGTTTTCCCTATTTTGCTTATTTCGCCCCATGATGTAATTTTCTGTCTTCATCCCTTTGGTCAACAAGATAAGAGAAATGGGCGGTTTCTGAAAATAGAGGAGGCGAAGAAACCATTGTTTTGCACCAGCTATGATGGCCCTACGCGCTCGGTATCGTTTTAATCCCAGGGTTCCATCGGGTACCGACAAAACGAGAACAAAACAGAGGAAAAGCAGGAAATTACTTTTTAAAATAATTTTTCGCTGTTTGTTTTATATTCTCTATTTGTTCTCCTCCTTTCGCCAAAAATTTTAAAGTGACTGTCCTGCAAAAATTATATAACAAAGTTCGCCTACTTTCTCTCTCACTGTCAACGCTTTCATGTACACAGCAATGACTGAATTCTTCATGTCGTAATTCCCCTGAGCGATTGGCAATTCTCCTCCGATAACCAGAGTTATATGACTGTGCTAAAGTGAACATGATAATCTATTGTTCGAGAAGGAAAACGAAGGAATGGATACTTAAAAACTATCAACACTCGGTAAAAATATGTAACAATTATCTGCCGAAGATGAAGTGAATAATATTATTGTTGAATAATTCCCGTGACGAAGTCGAGTTAAAAACTACACCTTGTTAAACATACATAAACAGCATTTATTATTTATGAACCTACGATCACTCTTGGTTGCGTGTTAAGTAACTCCCGCGTATCTTTCAAGCTCTCCAAACTTCCTGCGTTTATCGTATATTTAATGACCGCACAGTGACGAACGAAGCAATTGTTAAAAATACCCTGTCAAAGATTAGGAAAAATTAGTTAACCACCACAGACACGCCGCCTCCTAGGTTGGAAAAAAATTCGTTTTTGCAAAATAATTACTCTCTATAGATTCAATATTTTATTCCGGCTTCAAATTAGTCATTTCATTTACCAACGGAGGATTAGCTGACAGAAAAATCAGACGAAAAACTTAATCGCTGAAGATGCGTCAATCCCTCCCTTGACAAGGGTTCTTTCCCAGGGAATTTTCTTTCTGATCCTCTATGATAATTCAGTACCTTGATAATTAAACAAGAACATGTTCGTCGCAACTAGCTGTTGATTTCAGTAAACAAAGTTCCAGTTTAATTTCAAATTAGCACTGAAAGTGAATTCCCTTGACGAACACAAAGACATGGGCTATGTTTTTTGTTTTACAATACGATATGGGCCTCCTAAGTCTAAAAAGATCCATTTTGTCACTTCTTTAATGGATGAAATAAACATGTCGTTCTTTGGGCGATAATTAGATGGTATGATATTGAAGGAAATTGTGAGCTTATACAAAGCTTTGAAAACGACTCAATAAAAAAAATTGTGGAACTTAGGGACAGCAGTTAATCACTTGGAAATGGGGGAAATAAAATCCGTGAAACTCAGAGACAACCTAAAGATACATAAGCGACAAACTGGACATATGGTGACCTCTATACAAATGATGCGAAACTTGTTTTTCGCTGTTGCCAATATAATTTCAGAACATCAATCGATTTGTAAAAAATTCTGTAACAAACAGAGATGGTCAATTTTATTCCATTTACTTTCGTAACCTTCAGTTAAATACACAAGTAACAAAGACTTCTTCTCATGAGCTTTACGAATATTTTTCTGATCGCAAAACAAACAAATTCATGACTAAAACTAGACCACCTCTTTTGGCAATATGGCGTCAACATCAACGTCAAGCGCTTTCTTTTAATCATAGGAAAACTAGTTGAAATAGTTTTATCGTAACACACAACAATGACTTACTCATTTAAAATGCATTAGGAAATTTTCTATTAGGTCAAAAAAAAATTTTTTTCTCGGGAACCTTTGAGTGCCTCAGTTATGAAATAGGAACTAAAGGCAAATATAGAAACATCTGTTATTTCGGTGTTTTTACAGTGCGGCAAAGAGTCGCTCTTTATCAGTATCAAATTCCATTATAATAGGATGCTAATCAAGGGTCCATATCTTTCGTGTGAAGTTAAGACTTGAATTATAAGCTACGGAAAGCTAAAAATGCAAAAGCTCAAGCTGGCGATGTCAGTTGTTGTAGGAGAAAAATTGAATTCGTGACAATCACCGAATGTACTACGTAGACTACACAATTATTCGAAATTAATGTACGGCCACACATACCAACTTGTTTCAAAATATTTGAAATTAACTGTGTATCTAATTGCGCTTTGTGGCTTTTTTTTCTCTCCGTTTCGAATCCTACTAGAACTAAAAACAAAATAGTAACAAAATCAAGTTGTCACACCAGCAAACCATTTTCTGCAACTGTAAAAGGAAAGTTATTCAATTCAGATTTGTTTCCGCTATCATTCTGCAGTCGTTTAGTTTTTTTCCTTCAGAATACGTATGATCGCAAAAGAAAATATTTCGTCTTGAGAGCACCTGCCCAGCGTTGATCACTTAAACTTTACTTTTTTCAGAATAATCATATGAAAACTTTTTCAGTCGCGTTTACTCGTTTGAAATGCTCGGAAATATTGTCAGTTGTGTACAAAAAAAATGGTGAACCATTTTTCTTAAAGCCTTACTTTTACCTCAGCTATGATTTATCAAAACGAGGTAAGAACAAAACATTTGCGAATGTTGATATTTTATGGCGCGATAGACAATCCTTCGTCGCTCAGACGAACAATCATTTTATTCAGGTATAGCGCATTTATTGAAAACGAGAGACAATACTTTGTCAAAAAAAATTATTCGTCATTTAATTTCGTTACTCAATAATCACTTTCTTCGCTTTTTCTTCAGGTCACTTATAACTGCATGTAACGAGAGATATTTTTGTCTTGAAAGCGCCTGCCAGGCTGCAATCACGTAGACCTTTTCATTGAAACTTTCTCAGTAATGCGGTTCACTTATTTAACATGCGAATACTCAATGCTTCTTCTGTCACATGAGCTGTTAATTTCTTCCCAGGAGTCACATTAAATATAACTTTTTGTAAACTTCTTTGTAACGGGTAATTCTGTCATGCTATTCCATCAATAAACTCTAAAAATTCCCTCCAAATTTAAGAAAGGTTTTTTTTTTATAGCAAATTTCCCTGCAAATTATCTTTGTTAATTAAGAGAGGCTGGATGTTTGTTCCCTAACTGTGTTGCGCGTCACAACTACATAACATGTTTATTCAACTTGGTTAGTCTAATCATTGAATAACTTTGCGCTAAGAGGTAAAAATAAAAATAAAATAATTTCCTTTTTTATCACTCACAGTATAAGGCAAAAACTGTCCCTACTAAGGAAGAGTGACGTTGATAAGATAAATGAGTAAGTGTTGATAGAAAGTCTGAAGAACAACCTTAGGAAGACCTGACTCAACGATGTGTTTCTTTAATTGTCTGCTTCACTTTTTGTCTCACTTCACTAATCTTCCAGAATTAGCAGTTTATTTAGATATACTGTCATTCTTTTGGAACGATGATTGGGTGGTAAAAAACGTTTTCTGCAGCGTGGTTAATTATCAATTCCAAAAGAGGTTTATCAAACAACTTTAAAGAAATAAAGAAGCGAAAATCAGCAATAATAAATCGCTCAGAAGTGGAAGAAATGGATTCCAAAAAACTTGAATATATTAAATATTTTCAAACGTCGACAATATTTTTCATGCAATATTGTTTTCCCCCTTAATTTAAGATTAAAAAAAGTGACTGATCGGGAGGCAAACTCTGTAACAACCATTTACAGTCAGTTTCATTTCGCACCCTTTTGTGATTGCGTTACGCACAGGAAGCCCATGAGCGTGAGAATGC